GCTTTCCATCAGGTCCACCCCAGCCTGTACTGATGCATGGGGTTGTTCCTCCCCAGGTGCAGGACCCTGCGCTTGCCGTAGTTGAACCTCATCAGGTTCCTCTGTGCCCAACTCTCCAGCCTGTTGAGGTCACGCTGAATGGCAGCACAGCCTGCTGGTGTATCTACCACTCCTCCCAGTTACTTTAATTGTGAAAGTGGAAGATTGCTTGTGCAGCGTGTATTTTTAAAAAACCAGAACAGTAGTTCTGTAAATTCCTCCTTTTTGATTTCTCACTGGCATTTCTCCTGGACCAGCCCCTGTAGACGCTGCAGCCCAGGTCTTGATGTGAAATGAGTTCTGTCCCGCTAGCGAAAACAGATGTTCTCCCTGATGAATTCCCTCTCTGTATTTTGTATTTTGCATTCTTCCGTTGCTTTTTCTTTGTCAGGATCCAACCTTCCTCCTTTCCGACTCGGTTGTTGGCTCCCGAATCCACGGGTGGAACCCAGACGTGTTCCAGACGCGCAGAGGATCGGCAGCTCTGCTGATTTCTGCTGAGGTGCTCGGCGCCTCTGGAGCCCGAAACGCTTCCAGCTGAGGCTGCTCCCGTTGTGAATGGTTTTTATGGAATTGCCGATCTCCTGCGCTGGGTTTCAGCATCTGCCCTGGCTTCTCCCCACGCTGCTGCGTTCCTGTGGGCGCTCGGTGCGACTTCCGGCTCTGTGCGCTCTCAGAGCGCCTTCTCGAGTGTCTCTTCCCCGGGGACGCCTCTCGCTGTGCTCTGGGTGCTGTTGCCTTGCCCCTGCTTCCAGCCGGGTGCTGCACCAGGGTGTGGGATGGTTGCGTCCCTGCTCGCCTCGTCACCAGGGTCTCATTCTGCTCCCAGGGGTTGTTCAGCAGAACTTGGGAGCTCCTTGGATCCGCTGGTGAGAATGGTCATGACGGCGGAGCTCTGTTTGCAGCCATGGCTGCGGCCGCTGCCTCGCTCCGTGCCTGTTCCATGTGGGCTCTCCTCGCTGCTCGAGGGACAGATGACACCACGCTGAGTGGTGTGGTCACACACCAGAAGGACGGGATGTCACCCAGAGGGACCTGCACAAGCTGGAGAGGTGGGCCTGTGAGAACCTCATGAGGTTCAACAAGGCCAAGTGCAAGGTCCTGCACCTGGGTCGGGGCAACCCCTGGTAGCAGCACAGGCTGGGGGATGAGGGGATGGAGAGCAGCCCTGCCCAGAAGGACTTGGGGGTGCTGGGGGATGAAAAGCTGGCCATGACCCAGCAGTGTGTGCTGGCAGGC